GGAATGGGGGAGCCGTGGGAATGAGAAAAAATATGTCCCCTGACTTCAGCTCTATTTGGAAAAAAAAAATCTTAAATATACATGTCATGATCATTTATGATCTCATCATCAAAATATGAGCAGAAAGACTTAAAATTTGAGTATTTGACTTCCTGGCTCAGTTTTTCATAAAAATTCAAGTACTTCTTATTACCTGAGCTTACTGCTTCCCTAGGACAGGCATTTACTCTTACAATTAGAAGAACTGGTAGCATTTTTGGCTGCTGTTCCTCTCATGCCTCAAAGACATTCACACAACCTTTCCACCCTCCTTCCTTATCCCCTAGCCTAGATTCACATAAAACAAAGCCTCTTTTCTTTTCTCTCACTCTGCTGCCTAACAGCCTATCTCCACTTGCCTGGAATTTGGAAGTAAGAATTCTAAGTAAAGTCTTAAGCTAATAAATCAAAGAACGTTTGCACATTGGAGGAAAATATATCCTAAAACTCTAGATTGGCTATACTTTTTTTTAAAGTATAAAATAGTTATTCCTTTTTTAAGTATAAAATAGTCATAATAGATCATAAGACATTAAAACCTATAAACCTCTCCTCAGACAAATCTTTATCACAATTGGAACACTTCAGATGCAAACTCAATAAATGAGTAAGTCAGAGAAAGCTATAAGTGATAGCTACATGCTCAAGAAAATATTTATTATGAAAGGACAGCAGTGGTAATAGTTATAGGTCTGTCAGGTGACTATATTGTTTCCAAATTTTAGATAAAACCTATGTCAGAAGCTCATATTCTATTAGCTCTCAAAAACATAATGAGATTCATCTTATAGTGCATTACTTATTATAGAGGTTTTTGGGGGGTTTTTTGAGATGTATTAGAAGTAAAAGAAATTTATTTTTACCTCGTGTGAGTTTCATTGATATAAATGACATTCCGCAAACCCAAAGATGGGATAGTGGGGTTGAAAAACTTATCCTATGTAAAACAAAATAAACAGAAACATAAATATACAATTGGATTGCTGGTGAAGAGCTCACATTACTAGCACTTGATAACTTTCAAAATTCAAGCATAAAGTTAGACATTGCTTCAAAATCAAAATATTGAAGAAAAACTGTTTTACTGAAAAGTACCTTTTAGCCTTTAAAGAAGGTCACAAATTCAAAATTAATCCTTAACACCTTGCAAAGGAAACAGCACCTCTCCCTTTCTTGCCTCCCACCCCTCCAACCCAAAACAGTGGAAGCTACAGATAGCTCAAGTCATTGACAGAAATACTGGAGATTTCAGTGTTCCCAAAACTAGGAAACTAAAAAAAAAAAAAAAAGCAAAATAGGAAAATTAGAATTTTCCCCCCACTGGAGCACCAATATATCATATCTTCCAAACTCAACAGGAGATTCACTACTAATTGTATTTGAAAACTGCCAAGTGAGCAGATACCTTCATATGTAAATGTGGACTTAATCTTTGATGTTCAAGGGAAGTGATTCATGGCCGGTTTCCACAATGTGCCTAGGAGATGCTTTATATCTTGGTACTGACACTTTATGTATTAGGCTATAATCAATACTATTGGCTACATGCTCTGTCACTGAAATAAAACTGTGATTGTTCTGCAAATAAAATTACTAACAACAAAAAAGTAGCATGTAGTTATTATTAGACTACTATCTTAATAATCCTGACACATAAGAATTCTTATCCCCATTTTACAGACAGGAAAATTGAGGCTGGCAGAAGTTTAGGATTCAATCCTAGATCTTGCTCCAAAGAGTACAGTCTCTCTATTCCTTTAAAGTGCTTATTCCACTTAATGAGATAATGTGTGGTTAAAGGTCATTCTCTTTACATCATTGAGATAATTCAGAAATAACTGCTGGAAAGAAAAAGTCTATAACTTTATCAATTGGGACAAAAGGTACACTTTGCACAAATAAATGCTGAGAAAGCATAATGTACCCTCAATAAAACATGTAAAAGTACTAAGTGAAATCGCTTTAGAGAAAAGGAAAATAGGACTTGAGAGAAAGAGTAGCAAATACAAAAAAATTACTATAAAAATATTGTTAACCAAAAACTATTTTAAGTAAACATGTAATGGAAGAATTTTAAGATCAAGTTCAGCTCCTATATTTAGGCACTCTAGTACCTAAATTCAGTTACTATGGTTAAGCAAAAATCAATTATCTCTTATACTACTCACTTTTCCCCACCCCAAACCATCACCACCACCAAATAATTTCTTCTACTCTCCTGACTTAATAACACATTAGAGAAAAGGTATTGTTTTGGTCTTTTAAGCATTCAAAATTAGAGTTATATGAGATGCTAAATTTTAAAAACTGAAAAGGCACATGATATTCTATTTAAATCTTTATGGCCTATTAATTTGAATGGCATTATTCCTGGTCTAGAAATTTCCATGATCCTTCAATGCTACCAAATTCTTGCAGCAAGACACCTGTGATTTGAAAGGAACAGTATTTATATCAAGACATTCTTGAGTAGACCTAAATATCCTATATAATAAAAGCCTATTATGCAAATTTTGTTCCCTCGACTGGGAGTTTGACCAGGAGTTCGACGAGGGGGCAGGGCCAGCCGGCCAACCACCCACAGCCCCTCCCCCCAGCTGGCCCCGCCCTGGCCAGTGGCAACAGCAGGCAGCCAGGGGGGAGACCCCGGCCAGCAGCAGGCAGCCACTAGGGACTCTACTCAGGCACGAATTTCATGCACTGAGCCTCTAATTTAATATAAACTGCTTGGGTCCCACATGAGTGTCTCCTAGGTTAGTAAATCCCTTTATCCTAGACTCAGAATTCTACTTCCTGACAAGACATTCCTGAGTAGAAAATTCACACAGGTTATAAGCAACCTCTATAAATGACAGGCCCTTAAATGGCAGAATTTCTATGTCCTGGTAACTGACCCATCTCAGACAGAGCTTAACATGCAGGTATACCTTTTAATAGGTAACTCTACTACTTTAGGACATGGCCACATTACATTCTACCATCCTCTGCTAACTTATCCCTCTGGCACAATGACATCAGAAGCATACCTCTCATCTGATCAACTCTTCTCAAATAAATGCTGAGAAATGACAGCCACACAGTAATGTAGAAGATTTTGCATGGCTTTGGTTGTTTTTTTCACCAAAATACAAACAACACGCCCATACACACTCTTTTTTAAGTCTTTACTTAAGCTTTTAATGACCATTCTTCACTATCACAGAGTCAACAGACACCCTTCCCCCATCAGCCCGAAATAGAAATGTAACAAGAGTACAGCAAAGCCACAGGGCTGAAGAAGTTACATGAAGGTTCCCACAAACTCTTTGGAAGAGTTAACTTAAAGTAACATCTATTCTTCCCCTAAAGCCATACCAAAATTACTAAAGAACCCAAATCTCTCCTAGCATCAACTATTGGACCAACGTTTAATGAATATATGAATGGAAAGAAAAATTGAGTCAACACCAAATGAATGAAGTCTATCTGGTATTTGCCCAATACCAAATTCACACAAAGTTGGAGATCTATGCCAATATTTCAAGGGTTTATTAAAGGTCAACAAGCAATAGCATTCTTACCCAGCTCTGGGGCGTACAGGAATAACAACATCTTCCGACAAATGGCCTTTTCCGGCTCATTAGGCTTTCTTTCCATTTTAAGGTTGCAGATCTGAAGACAGTAGATCTGAAACCATATTCACCCTAATAAATATTAAGGAAAAACTGGTTACTAAATGGCAAGAAAATTATACTTGTCCACGTGATCTCTAAAACTAAGATATTTCAGATGGAAGAGAAACGGATAACATACTTTTCTTTGGGCAGTGGCATAATTATGTGTTTCCCACAGTGATTTTCATTCAAGGTACTCCCTCCATGATCAACACTTGGAACATGAGCAAAAGCTGAGCACCTAAGAATAGTAATAGCTGGCAAAAACTACGATTCACTCAAAGCAGAATTCAAGGTTTTAAAAGAAAGCTGGGAAAAAGTCAAACAGCTTCTGAAGGTATCAGAATGAATAAAATCAGACTCCTGGATCCCAGCAGTCAATCTTACTCTCTCTTAAAGTACACACTCCCACAAAAGAACTACCAAGGCCTTACATAGTAAGCAGGTTGTTACAATACAGCTTAAAATATTTTGCTTTAAATAAAAGACAAGTACACTTACAGAACATTCCTTTATCCTAACAAGAAATATTTTAAACATGCCACATTAGTTGAAATAGTGAAAATAATACAAGATAATGTATGCCCATTTGGATTGGGTTCATACTAAAATTTATTTCCTATTTTCAATTTTTTTAAATAAACTTTATTTCCATCACAAAATTTATACTTGTTAGGTATAATTATGGAAAATCGATACTGAAACATTTGTAAGACCAGCTTTATAATTACAACACCCAAAATAACTACGAGTAGGTTTTTTCCCCTATGCAGAAGAATTTTGCTTTTTAACATAATGTCTGTAGTTAAATTTTTTACCCAATTTTTTCTTCCCAGTTATTGATATTAACTTGGCTCCAGCATTTCCACCTTCACAAACAACACTGAAATGAGCATTTTAGGTTGACAGCTTTTAATGCTCATCTTTAAACTTACCCATTCCTCACTTGCATGCTTACAAGGGCCAACGCTGTATTCTGATGAACTTGGCAGGTAAGAAACATCTATCGTGTCGAGGGTCAGTGCAGATTCCTCCATGTCACAAAGTGTTACTCCTAAGTCATGTGCTATAGAAAACATATATATATATACCATTTCAATTAATGAAAAATCCAGACAGTAAATACCAGAACTCAGAAGTCTTACTTCTACATCAAGCATGTCAAACTCGTGGCCCGCAGACCACATGCCTCGTTTTTTGCCCCATGTTAGCCTTTGAGTTTGGCATGCTTGTTCTAGATGATTTTGCTCCATCAGAGGATGTCAAATGAACTACTGGCAAACTTCCACCAGGTTCAGTCAAAGTGTAAAAGCGGACATTGATGTGTTTATATGAACTCAGTTAGGCAGCCTTGATTGAAAAACAATCCATCTTTGTAGCTTTAGACTTCCTAAACAAAACAGCTATGAATTTGTAAGAGTAAATAATAGCTTATTTCGAAGAATTATTTTGTTGTGTTAATAATTGAATAGTTCCTGGGGGATGGGGGCATATTTAAAAAATTAAATATAAATTACATGTACACATATAAGGAGATCATTTTTTAAATGACATGCTGGGAATTTTAGGTCATACATACTATGCAGTAATGCAAAAGGGGTAAAGGCAATGTAGTCACCTAAAGTTTCCCACTTAAACTGAATTAAGCTCTTAATATTCTTGTGACACCTTAAATGAAATAATTACTTTACAAAGCTCTAAAACCAAACCACCCTATTTGAAAAACCTGATTTACACGTTTTCATCCTTTTCAACAATACTTTTCTTTTTCCAACCCTATGGGGAAAATGTTCACAAGCACTGAATGACTAAACAAAACTGACATAGACAGTAATCTAAAATATAAAAACTTTCTAAAGTAACTTTGAAATTATTTTCAGATAACTTCTGGCTATTTGTTACCTGGCCTTAATTTACTCCTTCAAAACCCCGAAAGCTCGTTTGCAGGTTAACAGGGCTCCCTGGAGGCCATGCTCTGGCTTCTGGATAATCCCCACATGGGTTTGCTGCGGTACCTGGTATCCTCTGCATAACTACTACGTGCGTCCTTAACAACTGAACATCATCTAACACGATGGGTGAGAGGAGAGACTAGCAAAGCAATGCACATGGCATGAAAGCTGTCCAGGCTTAGGAAACTTAGCTCTCAGTTTCAGGTGCAGGATGGGGGAGCCCTCGACAGGGGGAGCCCTTTGCTGCCTGAGAAAATGAAGAGGGCGAGGAGAGGAGGGAGAATCTGTGCCAATAGGAAGTCTACCCTTCGCTCCTCCCAGCCCACAGCGTTCATCCAAGGTCGAAAAGTTAAAGAAAAAAAAAAAATCCGGAGGTGCCAGACGACGGGGACTGTGGGGAGACAACTGTGGGTTCCGAAAGGGGCAGCACGCAGCTCCGAAGTGAAACATACCCGCGTTCAAACCCCCCCGGGGGACGCTGGACAAGCTGGTGAACTCCTGTGCCCTGGTGCCCTGCCTGGAAAATGTGCACTGTGATCGCTCCTACCTCCAGGACGGCCGGGAGGACTGGGAAAGGCACACCAAGCGCCTTGCACAGCGTCTGGCACAGCGAGCGCCCAGTCCACTCAGTCAGTCAGTGGTCACCTGGGGTCGGACTGCCCCCAGCACCTGCCCCTCCGGGCGCCCGGGCTGCCCCGACGCCAAAGCCATGGCCCCCGCGTCGCATGCAGGGTACTGAGTCCGCAGAAGAAGCCTGGCCGCCACCTGGTCTCCCGGAAGAGCACGACCCCGACCCCCACCCCGGCACGAGCCGGAACCCATTTCTCAGAGGGACCCCGGGAGCTCGGGGGGACAGGCCAGGGGGACACACCGCCCCGGCCACTGGCGGGAGTCCCGCCGGCCCCAGCGCGGAGGGCGACCACGCACCTGTGCCGGCGCTCCCGGCCCGAGCAGCCTCCCGCAGCCCGCAGCCCGCAGCCCGCTCCCGCCCGGCGGCTCGCACTGTCAGCTCCGCGGGCGCAGGGGCTGCCGCTGCCGGCACTTCAAGCCTCCGCCGGCGCTCGCGGCAACGTCGCGCCCCGATGACGCAACGGCGCCTGCGAGTGACGCGCGGCCGCGAGTCCGCCGGGATGGGGCGGCGCGTGGCGTGGCGCCCTGCACGCGGAGCGCGGGGGCGAGTGTGTGCGCACAGGTGTGTGTCCCTGTGGCTAGGTGGGTGTACGCACTGGTGTGTGTCCCTGTGGCTGAGGGGGGTGTGCGCACAGGTATGTGTCCCTGTGGCTAGGGGGGTGTGCGCACTGGTGTGTGTCTGGCTAGGAGGGTGTGCGCACAGGTGTGGGTCCCTGTGGCTAGGAGTGTGTGCGCACAGGTGTGTGTCCCTGTGGCTAGGAGTGTGTGCGCACAGGTGTGTGTCCCTGTGGCTAGGAGGGTGTGCGCAGAGGTGTGGGTCCCTGTGGCTAGGAGGGTGTGGCGAGTGTGGGTCCCTGTGGCTAGGTGAGTGTGCGCACAGGTGTGGGTCCCTGTGGCTAGGAGTGTGTGCGCACTGGTGTGTGTCCCTGTGGCTAGGGGGGTGTGCGCACAGGTGTGTGTCCCTGTGGCTAAGGAGTGTGTGCGCACAGGTGTGGGTCCCTGTGGCTAGGAGGGTGTGGCAAGTGTGGGTCCCTATGGCTAGGAGTGTGTGCGCACTGGTGTGTGTCCCTGTGGCTAGGAGGGTGTGGCGAGTGTGGGTCCCTGTGGCTAGGTGAGTGTGCGCACAGGTGTGGGTCCCTGTGGCTGAGGGGGATGTGGGGATGTCCAAACCAGTGGTTATTCTGCCTGCGCGCGTTGAGCCACATGAGCGCGTGTGTACCTAAGTGTGCGTCGTGTCACCTGCTCATCTGGGATGTGGGGTCACCTCCAGGCTGGGCTGGGAGTGTGCGTGCGCCTGTGTTTCTGTGTATATGCGTGGTCTGCCTGGTGAGATCTGATAAGATGATGTAGAATTTATTAGGGATGGGGCAGGTGGGGATTGGGAATGGCCCCCTTGTGTAATTTCTGTAATACTGGCCAAGTGCCTTTTTCTTAAAGGAAGAAAATGAGGAATTAAAACACACACACACACACACACACACACACACACACACACACGACTGGAAAGTCTGAATCCTAGTTTGCCTACGTCCAGCCCTTCAAAGTACCAGCGGACACAAAGAGGTTCTTTCACAGTGTGTCTGCCTAGACCAGTGATGGCGAACCTTTTGAGCTCCGTGTGTCAGCATTTTTAAAAACCCTAACTTAACTCTGGTGCTGTGTCACATATAGAAATTTTTTGATATTTGCAACCATAGTAAAACAAAGACTTATATTTTTAATATTTATTTTATATATTTAAATGCCATTTAACGAAGAAAAATCAACCAAAAAAATGAGTTCACATGTCACTTCTGACACGCATGTCATAGGTTCGCCATCACTGGCCTAGACAATGCCGGTGGGTATGCAGAGCATAGGAAGTTAGAAGGGAAAAGATGACCTTTTACATGCACTTAGGCGGCAAGCTCAAGCTGAACTAGCAGCTGGGAATACAAAGATGATTGAGAAATAGCCCCTGCCTTCACACCTCTGCTACCAGTCCTCACCTCCTCTGCACATGTTAACCCTAATCCTCTCTTCAGAACAAATCTTTGTCCATGTCCACCCATCAAACCCCTCAGAGCTCCCTGACAGTCCAAATGCCTGAGCTGGGCAGGTGAGGCATTCATAGATAAGCTTCCACCTTTCCCACTGTTCTCCAGCAGCAGTCCCTGACTGTCCCTAGCCACACCATGGATACTCATGCTCACAACTGGGCTCATGCCACCACTTTCCCCTAAATTCTGTTGCTCCTGAACTAGGTCTCCAAGGCTTCCTTAATCTCTCCAGCCCTCAATCATGTTCCTCTCCTGTGAAGTCTCACAGATTTACTGTGGTACCACACCTTGGATCTTTATCTATGGTGTCATTCTTCTATAAGATAATAAACTCATCATCAGTGTCAGCGACTTGCCTCAGTCGCTTAGGTAACACTAAGGTGCTTTATTGTATTACGCACTCAATAAATAACTTGGTGAAGCTGAGGAACAAGAAGGAAAATGGGAATTCCTTATCTTGAACTTTCTACTTCTGTTTCTAAATCTATTCCAAAATGCAGGTGTGGACTTCTTGTTTTTGTTTGTTTATTTGTCGGTTAGTTTTTGTAGTAGCAACAAACTTTATTATTATTATTATGATGATGATGATGATGATGTTGATTTTAGAGAGAGAGGAAGGGAAAGAGAAAGAGAACATCGATGTGAGAAAGAAACCCACAACCTAGGTATGTACCCTGACTGAGAGTCCATGACCTTCCAGTGCATAGAACAGTGAGCCAAAGTGAAGGTGTGGCCCTTTTAAAAAATAATTCAAAACAGTAGGTGTGGTTATTCTTATATTTCTTAAAGTTAAAGACCCTGTTTTTTATCAACCCCATGTGCACCTTAGCTCCAAGCACACAACTAAGTACACAAGGACTGTGTTGACTAGATTACTGATACCTGACCAAAAACGGAAAAGAGAAAAAAAAAGGGGGGGGGGCGGCACAGAGAAAAGCCTCAGGATTTGACTCACTGCTAAAGAGAAAGTAATGAGAAATGAAGCAGAGAAAACATTACAGGAATTAAAAGGCAAGCCAGAAGGAAAAATTAGATTGCCTTACATGAAGCTCGTTTGTGGGACTCTTTTGTAACACCGATTGCACAAGGGTTTGCTGCACTTGCGGAAGATGTGGATTGCAGATCTTCAGGTTATTTAATGAGAACAAGTGACACCCTTGGCAATCTGTCTTATCAACTGAACCACAATAACTTAAAGTAATCCAGTCCAGCCAGCCAAGATGGAGCAAGAAGGACTGGGTTTACGCTCCTGCTAAAACAAATAAAATAAGCAAATAAACAAACAACAACAACAACAGGCAAAATAAATAAAACAGGCAGCAGTGCAGGACACTCGTCCATAAGGGAGAAGGAAGAAATGAGGTGAGCATCATGATTGGTTCAGCTTACCATTTAGAGCAGCAGTTCTCAACCTTCCTAATGCCGCGACCCTTCAACACAGTTCCTCATGTTGTGGTGACCCCCAATTTCATTGTTACAAATTGAACATAATTAAAGCATAGTGATTAATCACAAAAACAATATGTAATTACATATGTGCTTTCCGATGGTCTTAGGCGACCCCTGTGAAAGGGTCATTCGACCCCCAAAGGGGTCGAAACCCACAGGTTGAGAACCGCTGGTTTAGAGAGCGTTGCCAGGCTGCTGTGCAGAGAAGGTGAATCCAAGACTAGGCAGACTCCCTGAGTTGAGACAGAAGTAGGAGACCAAGAAGCCAAAGCAGACGAAGCTGGGAGTAGAGTACCAGAGAGAAGACAGCTATACAGAGAAAGAGGGAGCTCTGGAAACCCGCAGAAGATCTTGTTCCAGTCTTCACCTTATTAGCTCATGAATGTGAGGAAGGTACCCAAGGGCCAGGGAAAGAACCACCCGTACAGAGAAGGAGAACAAACACCAGAGCTTGCATGAGGCAGGGAATTAATTCCTGTTCCCACAAGCCAGAGTGGGAAGTACAGAACAAAGTGGAAGAACAGAGTGATCATATAGGATAAGGAATGGGCCTGATCCTGGCACCCAGACTGGAAAACCTCATCATTGATGACTCAAAAGATCTTGTCTCCGTAGTGGGATAAAATTAGCCCTAGAGGAAATGCTGTTCTGGTCCTACCTAGCAAATCTTAAAGCCAGCCCCAAAAGGATCAAATCGTTTGTGAGAACAAAATGTGCCAAAACAAAGGACAAGAATACTTACAGGAAATCAAAATTATCCAGTACCCAACAAGGTGAAATTCACAATGCCTAACATCCAATAAAAATTTATTAGTTATGTCAAAAGGAAGCAGGAAAGAATAACCCATACTGAGGAGAAAAATCAATTGAAAGAGTTGCAGAAATGATAGGATTAGTAGACAAAGACTTATTATTTTAATCTATATGTCCAAGAAAGTAGAGGAAAGATTGAGCACATTAAGTAAAGATGTGGAAAATCTAAAACAAAACAAAAAACCCACAAACTAGACATTATAAAACTATCATCTGAGATTTTAACACACATAAACCCCACTTGTATGGGACTAACAACGGATTAAATATTACTGATAAAAACATTAAGGAACCTGGAAACAGCACAGCTATCCAAAATGAAACAGAGGGAATAAAAAAATGAAAGTAAAAATAAACAGTATCAGTGAGCTTAATAAACATGCAATTGGAGTCCCTGAGGTAAAGGAGGAATATGATAGGAGGGGTCAGGAGGAACAGAAAAAAATATTTGTAGAAATAATGGCTGAAAACTTGCCAAATTTAATAAAAACCATAAACTCAAAAATCTAAGAAGCTTAACATACTCTAAGTAGAAACATGAAGAAAGCCACACCAAAGAACATCACAATTACATTCCTTGAAACCAGTGGTAAAGTGAAAATCTTAAAAGCAGTCATAGTGGAGGGGGGATACATTACTGTGCAAAGGAACAAAAATAAGAATGGCATTAGGCCCTGGCCAATGTGGCTCAATGGTTAAAGCATCGGCCTGTGAACCAAAGGATCTCGGGTTTGATTCCCAGTCAAGGGCATGTACCTGGGTTGGAGGTTCGATCC